GAAAAGACATCAGATCTAAATGAGGATAAATATCATGCTAGATATCTATACTGATATGGACACGGTAATGTGTTAGGAGCTTAAGAATGCCCCATCATTTGATGGAAAAGAAAATTTTCAACCTACAGAGGACTGAATTCAAAGACTCCCAAAAATCAAAGTGAAAAAATGATGCAGCAGGCTAGTCCGTTTTGCTGAAATTTGATTAGTTTGTATGGGCTCACATGCTTGTATGCATGCCTGACGTCAGGCATCCTCCTAATGAGATGACGGATGGTGTCCTGGGGTATTTCCTCCCAGATCTGGACCAGGGCATCGCTGAGCTCCTGGACAGTCTGAGGTGCAACCTGGCAGCGTCGGATGGACTGAAACATGATATCCCAGACGTTCTATTGGATTTAGGTGGCGAGCGTGGGGGCCATTTAATGGTGTCAATTCCTTCATCCTCCAGGAACTGCCTGTATATTCTCATCACATTGTCATGCACCAGGAGGAACCCAGGACCCACTACACCAGTGTAGGGTCTGACAATGTGTCCAAGGATTTCATCCCGATACCGAATGACAGTCAGGGTGCCATTGTCTAGCCTGTAGAGGTCTGTGCGTCCCTTCATGGATATGCCTTCCCAGACCATCACTGACCCACCACCAAAACGGCCATGCTGAACAATGTTGCAGGCAGCATAACGTTCTCCACTGCTTCTCCAGACCCTTTCACGTCTGTCACATCTGTCACGTGTTCAGAGTGAACCTCCTCTCATCTATGAAAAGCACAGGGCGCCAGTGGCGGACCTGACAATTCTGGTGTTCAATAGCAAATGCCAATCAGGCTCTATGGTGCCGGGAAGTGAGCACAGGGCCCACTAGAGGACATCGGGCCCTCAGGCCACCCTCATGAAGTCTGTTTATGATTGTTTGGTCAGAGACATTCACACCAGTGGCCTGCTGGAGGTCATTTTGTAGGGCTCTGGCAGTGTTCATCATGTTCCTCCTTGCACAAAAGAGCAGATAACGGTCCTGCTGATGGGTTAATGACCTTCTTTGGCCCTGTCCAGCCCTCCTAGAGTAACTGCCTGTCTCCTGGAATGTCCTCCATGGTCTTGAGACTGTGCTGGGAGACACAGCAAACCTTCTGGCAATAGTGTGCCATCCTGGAGGAGTAGGACTGCCTGTGAAACTGTTGTAGGGCCCAAGTATCAGCTCATGCTACCAGTAGTGTAGCTGACCCTAGCCAAAAGCAAAACTAGTTAAAAAGAGCCAGAAGGGAAAAAAAAGGTCATTGGTCTCCACCTGTAAAAGCATTCCAGTTTTGGGGGTGGTCTCATTGTTGCCCATCTAGTGCACCTGTTGTTAATTTCATTAACACCAAAGCAGCTGAAACTGATTAACATCCCCCTCTGCTACTTAACTGACCAGATCAATATCCCAGGAGTTTAATTTACTTGATGCTACACTCTGATTAAAAAGTGTTCCTTTAATTTTTTGGAGCAGAGTATATTTTTATAGCCGTGAAAAATATTGGCACCCCTGCATTTCTGTCAGATAATGTACCACTTCACCAAATTGTTGCAATTACCAATGTTTCGGCATTCTCATGTTTATTTTCTTTTGTTTTTATTCGTCACAAATGTGACAAATACACAATAATTCCATTCAAAGTTTGTGATGCTCCTGTAATTTGTAATTAAACTCACCTGTATCAATTAACAAGTTCTGACAATATAGAAATCACACCAGCAACCACAATTTCCACAATTTTTGTTTCTCCCTTTTTTTTTGACGAATACAAAAAAAAAAAAAAAAAATAAACATGAGAATGCCTAAACATTTGTAAATTTGTAATTGCAATAATTTTCTGGGCGAAGTGGTGCATTATGTGACAGAAAAGCAGAGGTTAATATTTTTTTAATATTTTTTATATATGTATATATATATATATATAATATATATATATACACACACACACACACACACATACATACACAGCTTTGGGGTGCATGCCCTAATGCAATAGTCTGTGCACACCTATTCCTAAAGTTTTCCTAGTTTTTCCTAGTAAAGAGGAGTAAAAAAAGTTCCCTTGCCAGCCAGTTCGGAGACCCGAAGTCAGTGCAGCAGGTGCTGTCCAGCTTGGCCCGACCATCAAGCGTGCAGTTTTATCACCATTCTTTAATGAGATAATGAAGGGGACATTACTGCTTTTAACAAAAGTTTTTATTTCAAGAGTTAAACCCAGTTACCAGCTATTGGGAACCCAAAAGTGAGTTAGCCTGGCATCTTGATAGTTCACTTCATCTCACTTGAGAGAAATATGTCAGAAGCTGAAATTGATGTTTAAATTCTGATCCTGCAGGACATTTGGGTTTGCTTAAAGTGATACTGTGCTTTATTATTTTATTAGACTTTTTAGAGTGTTTCATTTTTAGGCACATCTACTGTCATTCTGGTTGTTCTTGCACTCTCTATACTCTGACCTCAATACAATTAAAATATTTGCTCACCTTAAACTGTTTATTTTATGGTTCAAAGCCAGGGAGTCCTCCTGGCAAAGGTTTCATGGTGGTGTCAGCAGGGGCTGTACTTCCAAAATAGGCTCCGACTGGGAACCCAAAAATACCCAGCGACTCTCAAGGGGGTAGCGCTACACTTCAATAAAGTTTTTAGTTGCTAATCTGACAAACCAGAACTACCAGCCCTGGAAGTGTTTCAAATGAAAATGCTGCTGATTAGAGGATGAACATGAAAGTGTATACAAGAGACTAGACTAAGCCTTCCACAGATGAGTGGACAAAGATCAAAAAGCTCAGAGTATGATATTCCTAAGCATTGATTAAAGTGACATTAAACAATATTCTTATTCTCCAAATGTCATGTACTTTATGCACACTACAATTTCTATAGTCCCTTGTCAATTTCAGGCGCAAGCAAGAGAGAATGGCTATGTTCGTACATGCAGTGGGACCATGGAGGACCATGTGTGGCAATACCTACAATATGTTAATCATTGTTCATGTACTGTATGCCCATGCATCCTAGGTGCCAAAATGTTTACATATATGCAGGGTGCAGGGGTGTTTTGTTATTAAATGTTATTTTTTTAACTTACTTTTTATTTTTATATTTCTAATATATTTTTATTTACATTTTTATTTTTACTTGAGTTTATTACTGACACAAGTTGGCTCTCCACAGTTTTGTCCTCTGTGGATGGAACTAAAATGGGGTTGCGTGCGAGGGGTAAGTACACTGCTTTTATAGTGCAGGTTGAAACATGCTGATAAACGTGGAACTCAAATTATTCCATAATAATATGCACAATTATTACATAATTATTGATAAATGCATCCCTCCACCTCCTTGTCACCTACAAATATGTCTCTGCAATAAGAAATGCATGGCACGTTCAAACATGCAGAGTCAGCCAACCAACAGAGAAACAAAGCTACATAGAAGTCCAAAATAGGACCTCGCCATGATCCTGCAAATTTTGTATCCTACGGTTATATTTAAACATACCTTGATTTCGATACTAGGAACTTCAAATATGATGTTCTTGGAGGCCAGTTTGAGTTTCTTGCTACTCAGATCTGTAGCTAGAGCAGTGACCCTGATATTATTTCCAGAACTTATATATCTTTCATAGTGAAACGGATGAAGCTGGAAACTTGTCTCTATATCTAAAATATAAAAAAAAATTGAATATTATCGATTGTTCATGCTATTTTTTAATAATGTAAAATTATGCAGTGCCAGTGAATATAACAAAAACATAACAAAAATATGAAATAAATATGCAAATATGCAATGCAAAATCGCATACTATTGACTTCAAGGCAAAATCGCGTCCCATTGACTTAATTCCAAAAACACCCCCTATTGACTTCACTGCAAAATTGCGTCCCATTAATTTTCATGCAAAAAAAACTCCCCCTATTGGTTTCAATGAAAAAACGCCTCTAAGTTTTTTTTATTTTTAATATATATATATATATATATATATATATATATATATATATATATATATATTTTCATTTTATTTCCTGTCCAATTTTTGTGTGTCATTGTCAATAAAAGTTATTTCAGGTTACTGGATTGTATTTTCAAATTCATATTCATTTAAATTCATGATATTAATTAAAAAGTCAAATATAATATAATTATATATAAAAAATATACATTTTTTTTTAAACTGTCGGTTTCACTTTCCGGCCAAGTGCATTCTGAATTTTCGGCTTTGGTTTTGGTCCAGAATTTTCATTTCAGTGCACCATTAGTAAGACTATATAAAGGTTAGATATGTTTTGATTTACTTTTATTTGTCTTGTGATGTCACACATTATACTGTATCAAGATTCTGTATTTGGTTCAAGTGCTCCCCCTGCTGTTCAGTAAAACTAGTTGTTTTATTTTCATAACACAGGCGAATTCAAAATACAAAGCAAGCATGCAAACAACACCCCCTCCTAACAATGGGGTAAGGAGCATGATTGCTCCTAATAATACACATTATTTCTAACATTGATACATAATATGCCTTTTAATATTATTCTCCAGACTAGCAGTGTTCTAGCAGTTGAGGTGCATTGGGTTAAACAGTTAAGGAAGAAGAGGAACAGGAGGCACCAGACATAGTGCAGTATATTGATGTAACATTTAATTGATAGGTATAAAAACACCCATAAGAACAAAAATAAAATAGAGCTCATCTGTTTAGAGCATATGATCACTCTCCTCCGTCCCGTGGGGTACCGGCGGGCATGCCAGAGAGACAGCTGAAGCCGTGGGTGTAGTACAGGGAATCTCCCTGGGATGTGTGGATGTACTGGAGCCGATAAACTGCTTCTGTAACCCAGAAATAGCTGCACAACCAGCGTGGAACACACCAATAGAAGTGACGTCACCGGAAGTCAGAGGGTCAATAGAAAGATCTCAGGAACAAAGAACAGGCTACGCGCTCGGAGCCTCTAGCTCCTTCTATGAGGCCTGTAGAATCAGCGACTTATAGCGGGACTGTGGCAGGCATTCTGACACTGAGGGGAACTGACTTGGTGTCACCGACTTCCCCATTGACACCAATACAGTGATCAGTGCTAATAAAAAGCACGGACACTGTACTAATGGTACTGGGCAGGAAGGGGTTAACATGTGTGGGTGATCAAAGGGTTAAATGTGTGCTGTTTTACTGTAAGCTGTGTGTATGCTTTCAACTGTAAGCACACTGCTTTGTAGGGCCCTGCTATGCTATGCAGAGGCATACAAAACAGTGTGCTGGAGCTGACAGGGGAGATAACTATATTGTTTACATACAGTTCTCTCCCCCTGTCAGTAATACTTGTCAATCACCGAGTGCCAGCAAGTAATCACCGGCCAGGACCTGGTGAGTGACAGCTGAGGCCACAAATAGCGGCGCGGGTAGGGCGAGCGCCCCCTACCCAGAATTGCCCAGAAAAAATCCCAATACATGTAAATGAATTGGTTTATGTGAAAGTTATACAAATAGCAGTATATATACGGGGATTTGTTTTTAATTTTTTTAATTTTACTAGTAATGGTGGCGATCAGCGACTTATAGAGGGACTGCAGGACTGTGGTGGGCATTCTGACAAAAGAGCGATCAAAGGGTTTCCTGTGTGCTGTTTTACTTGTATCTGTGTCTGTGTGCTGTACACAGCCATGCAAAGCAGTGTGCACAAGCTGACAGGAGAACCGTTTTGTTTACAACAATTCTCCTCCCCGTCAGAGATGCTCGGCAATCACCGGGCGCTGTCATGTAATCACCGGGCGGGACTCGGTGATTGACAGCTGTGGCTGTGAGTGTCGGTGTCGGTGGGGCGCGTGCGCGTCTCGCTCGCCCCCCCTACCTGGAAATGCAAAATCACATATATATATGTGATTTTGCGCACCCCTGCCGCCCTGTAGTAGCATTTCTGCTATAGGGTGGCGGGAAAGCAGTTAATGCAGTTTACCATTAAGGTTGGCTTCACACCTTCGCATTGTAATAATGCACATTGGTGCATTTTGACCCTACTCAAATTAATGCATTTCCACAACAGGTAATATCGCACTACTTTGTGTTGTAGTGTGCTGTTTCAGGAAAAATAATGCTGATGGAGATTCTTCTGTCTGTTCTGATGTGTTCGCAATATAGGTACAATGGAAAAATTACAGTTTTTATTTTAAAGTATAACTAAAACTTTTTTTTTTAGTTTTGGATAGAGTGGAGATAGATTAGAATCCCTGTCAGTTTTTATTGCAGTCTGTGCCCCCATTAAAGAGAATCGCCCTCTATCACCATCTATCTACCCTCTAATCACCATCCATCTATTTGTCCTGTTTACCATTACTATTGAAAGTGAAGGTAATGAAAATCCCCAATTTTGAGTTGTCTCCAGAAAAGCAATAGAGAAGAAGTATTTCAATGGGGACACTAGTTCTGGTGACCTGGGTGTCACCAAGGAATTCCCTTCATTTGCAGGGATTACCTCTCACTTTGTGTTTGGCTATGGGACAGAAAGTGAAGGGAAATTTCTAAAATGGGACACAGATGGTGAAATAATACCTTACAGGGTAACCCTCCCTTGCTCTATCCAAAATTTAAAAAAAAAAGTTTACCCATGGTTCTACTTTAACTAAAAATTGCATTATTCTTTTTAGATATCTTTTTCACTTTGTAGTGTGATGTGCCTGTGTGGGGCTGCAGAGTTTGACAGATCTCTCTATACAGATCCAAGCTTACTCCTAAAGCCAGCCATGGACGGTTCAAATCTCAGCTGCTTGAGCAAGGACCAGCCAAGTTTCGAACCATTTGTGGGCAAGCTGAATGTATTTAAATTGATCGATTGGATTATACATTTGATAATTGCTAGTGGCTATTATAGTATGCTAGCAGTAATCACTGTTCTCCCTGCGGGCGGGGGGGTGGGGGGCAGGAGGGACTGACTGTGTTGATGGGGGAATGAAGTGATTTTCTTTCCTGCAACCTCTGGTCTCTATCTATGGATGGCTTTAGACTTATTCAGGCTGTTGTATGTGTCTGTATAATCTTTTTTTTCTGCTTTTTATCTCTGTAAATAAGATCATTTGTTTTAGGAAATCAGCTAAAATTAGTCTGATAAAACACATAAAAAAGAATCTTAATTTGAAATAGTTAATATTCATATGCAATATATCATATTGATAATGAATGTCAATAGAACAACAAATATACAGATTATATTTACCACCCCTGTATGAATAAACCATCTTACCTCTGTTAGCATTCACATCCAATTCTAATTTTTCACCCCAGAACTGATCCAGAGGCTTCCCGTTGTACATCATCTCTTGGGCGCTGATGCTTATCGAGAAACGCTTGGCCTCATAGCTTCTGTTATGAATGCGGTAGATAAGTAAGATCGTCTTTCCAATCAGGGGGGACTCAACTAGCTTTAGGGAGGCGTCAAAGTCTAATGCTACAATAGGATCTCTCTCTCTGAATGGCTTTTTACACTTGATTTTAGCTACAGCCTTTTCAAATACAGCCCTCTCTTCGGATGAGCCTACAAAAGAAAATATAGGGCAGTTTGATTCAAAAGTCAGAAGATAAGTAAGTATTTCAGAAATGTAATGTAACCAAAGATTGCATAATATGATACATTTCCCAGTTAGCATGCATTGGAACGGTTTGTGGCTAAAACTACCCATCATGATGAGATGCGATCTTCCAATCCAGCTGATGAGAGCCCAGTCCTAGACAAAACAATGTATTAATTTTGGATAGAATGGGAAGGATTGGAATATTCCTTCTTTCCTGTCTATTTGATGGGTGGGAACAGAAAGTGAATGGGAAAACCCCCTAATGGGGACAGAGGCATCAAGAAAAAATATTTTTTGATTGAAGTGATAAGGGTTTGAAATCATTATTAGGCTTCTTTCAAATGGTCGGCAGGTGCTAAAAAAGTGATCCACTGTGTTTTGGCTTTGGCCCACTCTAGGAAGATTCCTGGTGATTCCAAACTTCTTCCATTTACAGATGATGGAGGCCACTGTGCTCATTGGGACTTTCAATGCTGAAGAAATATTTCTGTACCCATCCCGAGATTTGTGCCTTCATAAAATCCGGTCTCGGAGGTCTACGGACAATTCCTTGGACTTCATGGCTTGGTTTGTGCTGTGACATGCACTGTTAACTGTGGGACCTTATATAGACAGGTTTATGCCTTTCCTAATCATGTCTAATCAACTGAATTTCCCACAGCTGGACTCCAATCAAGTTGTGGAAACATCTCAAGGATGATGAGTGGGAACAGGAAGCACCAGAGCTCAATTTTGAGTGTCATGGCAAAGGCTGTGAATACTTATGAACATGTGTTTTTTTTTTCCTTTTTTTTATTTTTAATAAATTGCAAAGATTTCAAAATGAACTTCTTTCATGTTGTCATTATGGGGTATTGTTTGTAGAATGTTGAAGAAAAAAATGAATTTACTCCATTTTGGAATAAGTCTGTAAAATAACAAAATGTGGCAAAAGTTAAGCACTGTGAATACTTTCTGGATGCCCTGTAGATACCGCTGATTCAGTAGTCTCCACTTGTTTCCAAGTTCTATGCTGAATGGCCAGCCTGCTGCATTCTGAACTCATATTAAGGTCGGCCATTCAAAGAAAGGTTTACATTTTCTGAATGAATGCAAAGCATTCTCTAATTGGATGGAGTGGATAGGTGTGTTGGAGCCAACAATTTATATGAAGAGTGATCTCTGCTCGCCCTGGAGGTTGGAGGCTGATCTAAATTCCACTGTGGATCTCTGAAGCATTGAGAGAAAGGCAATAGTCTTGCCTACATTCTGGGATTTCTGCCTAAACCCTGAGATTGGAGGCTGATTCGAGTTCTATCTTGGATTCCTGAGTTCAAAATTTAAGGAGTTCCATTCATCTATTTCTGGTGAGTGTGATGTGTAATAATAACACAAACGGGTGTGAACACTGGTCAAGGTTCTTGGAAAAGGACTATACCTTATCTAATATATTGAAATGTATATACTTTGGAATGGAACTATCACAATTGTTTCTGCAAAAATTGAGTTTTTTTGGGGAGTTGATATATATTATGTATATCTAAAATTGGTTTGTGCTGTTTTCCTTTTTTTCTTACATTTTTTTTGGCTTTTGTTAAGTTGCTAAATAGAATTTTTTATTGTGCGACCACACCACAACTGCGAGCCAAGCATGTTGCTTACAGTTGAGGTGCAGCTCCAATTTACTTACATAAGAGAGTATGACAAGTAGTGTCACCTGTCAGATATGGCATGCAGTGTTAAAGTTGGCACACCAAGATGCAAACCATCACTGCCGTAGCAATGTATCCGAGCAACACCATGTCTGCTTGTAGGTAGGCCATCATAAGGCAGACCTGTTTTTAATGCCCCTGGCCGCACATGTGAAAGGAGCCTTAATCAGCTGATTAAATTAAATTGTATATGGTATGAGAGCAGTGAAGTAATCACTGAGGATTAGTTCATTCATTGCCTATTTGTCACAAACAAAGCTTAAATTACTGTGTTCAGTATGAACAGTGTATGCTACATGGTTTTCCAGTTGCACTGAAAACATTATGAGGTCCATAAGCAATACAGTGAATGTGACATCACATGGTCATTTACAGTGGTGAATCTTGAACATTACATTACATGTAGTAGGTCCACATGTATGGTTTTCAGTTTCCTCACTGATCACTGGCATTTAGTGATTTCCCACACGCTTAACATTTGCCTATGGACAGCATCCTGAAGGATATAAAACTGGAAAACAGGCTGTTGTACACAACAATTATTATTATTATCAAGAAATAGCTTATTTTCCTTTTGTCAGTAGTAAAATATACAGTCTGATTTGCTGTTATAAACAACAGCTCCACTGTTCTTTAAAAATCACATGTTTTGTGTTGAAAGCGGAAGTGATGTAACATTCTTTTGCTATTGCTGTGTGATGAGACATATACCTAGCTAACAGGTGGGAAGCCTAACATTCGTGGGCTCAATGTCAGTCTTTGAAGGACTGAGATTGAGCTCTGCAGTCACGTTTGCAGCAGTTGTTTTCTTACTCCGGGTCCCAATCCTGCGCATGTCCTTTTGTCTCTTTCAGTTAGCTGACCATGTCGACTGTGCTTATGCTTATCAGATGACATTTTCACAGAAACTGTATATGCCTTCATAACCTTTGATACTGTAACTCGCAACATGGCAAATAAATTGGCAACTTCAGTCACAGAAGCACCAGCTAAGTGGCACCAACAATTTGCCCGCTTTGAAGCTCAGTAAGCTCTGACATGACTCCTATTACTACTGTGTTTCCCCCAAAATAAGACACTGTCTTAAATTTTTTTGGGCTAAAAAAAAAAACACACTAGGTCTTATTTTTGAGGTAGGTCTTATTTTTTACAGGTGTGAAGAGATGAGCTGTAGGCAGTCGTGGATGAGGGTTACTATAGAGAGGGCCAGCCGAAGACAGATGACAGTTGTGAGCTGTCAGGTGTTGCAGAGGTGAATTGACAGGTGAGTTTCAAACAGGGTGCAGAGATGAGCCACAGACCACTTGCACTCACCACTCCGCCTCTTCCCCACTGGCCAGTGATCACCCCTGGGGCATTGGCTTCCATGCATTAGGCTGCAGGATGAGATGCCCCACCCCACCCCTAAACACACTGCACCCACAGATATCTGTTCCTTCCCTGTCCCACAGTGAGTACAGAGGTACGTAGGTTCTGTGGGAGCAGATGGCGCTGTTACTTACAAAAGGGATTGTCACTTGGAAACACAAAAGCCATGCTTCTGTGTTTATAGGGGACAATAGATATCGGTGTACACAGGGCCACTGCCAGAAATGGTGGAACAGCTGATCAC